CAAAAATATCACGAGAAAAGAAAATTGTAGACTAATATGTTATGAATACAAAGGCCAAAATCCAGCAAAATATTAGCAAATTGAATCTAGCTATATATAAACTGGGTTATACACAAGTGAGTGAAATTATCCTAGGAATGCAAGGTTGGTTTAAAATGCAAATATCAATTAATGTAAAACACAGTACTGATTGAATGAAGGACCAAAAAAAAAAAAAAAATCACATGATCAGCTTACTAAACAAAGTAAAAGCATTTGACAAAATCCTAGCATTTCATGGTAAAAATACTTCACAACCTAGGAACAGAAGGGAACTTCCTTAATCTGATAAAAGCTATCTACGAAAACTCATAGTTAACACTATGCTTAATGGTGAAAGACTTAATACATTCTAAGATCAGGAAGAAAACAGGACATTCTTACCACATCTATTCACCATTGTAGTACAGGTTCTAGCCAGGGCAACTAGAGAAGAAAAGGAATGAAGGGTGTTCATTTTGGAAAGTTAGAAGTAAAACTATACCTCTTTTTGTAGTTGTAATGATCTTATATATAGAAAATCTTAAGGGATCCACTAAAATCTATATGAAGAAATAAGTGAATTCACATTTTGCAGCATACAAGATTTATAAATAAAAATCAATTATGTTTCTATACACTAACTGTCACAGGTTACATTGTGTCCCCCAAAGAGTTATGTTGAAGCTCTAACTCCTAGTATCTCATAATGAAGTTATTTTCAAATAGGGTTATTATAGATATAATTAATTAAGAGGAGGTCATAGTGAGATAGGATTGGCCCTTATTCCAAAATGACTGGTATCCTTATAATAATTGGAGAAGACAGTACCCAAAGAGGGAAGAGGTTATGGAGGCAGAGGTTGGATTTATGCTACTACAATCCAGAGAGTACCAGTGATTACTAGAAACTAGAAGAGGAAAACAGGGATTCTCCTTTAGAAGTTTCAGAGGAGCATGATCCTAACAACTTAATTTTAGATTTATGGCCTCTAGAACTGTAAGAGCATAAATTTTTGTTGTTTTAAGTTACCCAGATTGTGATACTTTGTAACAGCAGTCTTAGGAAACTAATATATGGTGATCAACCACAAATGAAAGAAAACAACTCCATTTAAAATAGCATTGCAGACAATAAGAAAGAATTTAACAAAAGAAGTGTAAGACTTCTTTTGCAATGAAAACTGCAAAATATTTAAAGAACTTAAAGAAGACCTAATTAAATGGATAGACATTCCATTTTCATGGACTGTTAGATTTAATAATCTTAAAATGGCAGTGCTCTGCAAATTGATCTACAGATTCAGTGCAATCTATATCAAAATCTCCGCTTTCTTTTTGGTGAACTGACAAGCTGATCCTAAAATTCATGTAGAAATGCAAGGAATCCAGAATAGCCAAAGAAATCTCAAGAAGAACAAAGCTGGAGGACTCAAGTTTAATTAATTTCATTATTATTTTAATTATTTTTTACATTTAACTAATGTTAAAACTTAATACAAGGTTGTAGTAATCAAGACAATTAAGTACTGGCATAAGGTTAGACCTATATACATCAGTGGGATAAAATTGAATGTCCAGAAATAAACCCTTACATTCATGGTCAATTGATTTTTTTTAAACGATTATATTTATTTATTTGACAGAGATCACAAGTAGGCAGAGAGGTAGAGAGAGCGAGAGGAGGAAGCAGGTTCCCTGCTGAGCAGAGAGCCCGACGTGGGGCTCGATCCCAGGACCCTGGGATCATGACCCGAGCTGAAGGCAGAGGCTTTAACCCACTGAGCCACCCGGGCACCACTGGTCACCCAGCCACCCAAGTCAATTGATTTTTAACAGGGAGGCCAACACAATTCAGTGGAGAAAAGAATAATTTTTTTTAATTTTTATTTTTTATTCAAGTATAATTAAAATAGTCTCATATTAGTTTCAGAGGTGTACAATATGATTCAACAATTCTATACATTACTTGGTGTATTTCTTAATCCCTTTATCTGTTTCATCATCCACCCACCCACCTTACCTCTGGTTACCACCAATTTGTTCTCTATATTTAGGAATTTGTTTCTTGGTTTGTCTCTCTTTTTTCCTCTGTTCATTTGTTTTCTTAAATTCCACATATGAATGAAATCATGATATCTTGTGTTTCTCTGGCATATTTCAGTTAGCATTGTTCCCTCTAGAGCCATGTTGTTGCAAATGGCAACATTTCATTCTTCATATGGCTGAATAATATTCCATTGAATGTGTATCTACCTACCTATATCTGTATCATCTGTATCTATACATCTTCTTTATCAATTCATCTATTGATGGGCACTTTGGTTGCTTCCATAGTTTGGCTATTGTAAATAGTGCTGCAATAAACATAGGGGTGTATCTTTCCTTTAGTGTTTTTGTATTCTTTGGTTAAATTCTCAGTAGTGTGATAACTGGATTTGTAAGGTAGTTAGTTCTATGTTTAATTTTTTGAAGAACCTCCATACTGTTTTCCACAGTGGCTGTGCCACTTTGCATTCCCACCAAAAGTACACAAGGGTTTCTTTTTTTCCATCCTCCCAAGCACTTGTTATTTCTTTTTTTTTTTTTTTTTAATTTTAGCCATTATAGGAGGTTGGAGGTGATATCTTACTGTGCTTTTGATTTGCATTTCCCCAATGATTAGTGTTATTGAGTATTTTTTCATTTGTCTATTTGCCATGTGTATGGTCTTTGGAAAAATGTTTATTCATTTCTTTTGCCCATTTAAAAATCAGACTTTATTTTTTGTTGTTGTTGACTTCTGTAAATTCTTTAGATATTTTGGGTATTAACCTTTTATCAGATATATCATCTGTAGAAAGAATAGTCTTTTTAGTAACTGATACTTGGATACTTGGACTGGGATATCCATATGTGAAAGAATGAAGTTGCATCCGTTCTTTATGCCATCCACTAGAACTAACTCAAAAATTACCAGAGACCTAAATTTAAGAGCTAAAACTATAAGCCTTTTAGAAGAAACGTAGGAATAAATCTTTGTGGCCTTGAGCAGGGTAATGGCTTCTTAAATAGGACACCAAAAGCACAACCAACAAAATTAAAAATAGATAAGTTGACTTTCATAAAATTAAAAACTTTTGTACTACATATGATACATCAAGAGTGTGAATAGGTAACTCAGATTGCAAAAACTATTCATAAATCATATATTTGATAAGGGACTTGTATCCAGAATATATAAACTCTTTTTTTTTTTTAAGATTTTATTTATTTGACAGAGATCACAAGTGGGCAGAGAGGCAAGCAGAGAGAGAGAAAGAGAGGAGGAAGCAGGCTCCCTGCAGAGCAGAGAGCCCGATGTGGGACTCGATCCCAGGACCCTGAGATCATGACCTGAGCTGAAGGCAGAGGCTTAACCACTGAGCCACCCAGGTGCCCCAGAATATATAAACTCTTATGCCTTAATAATAAGAAGATAAATAACCCAAATTAAAAATGGGCAAATAATCTGAATATACAGTTTCTGAAGCAAGATATACCAATGGTCAATAAGCACATGAAATAATGTTTAACATCATTGTCATTAGGCACTTTCAAACCAACACTGCAGTGATATACTACTTCACACCCCTTAGGATGGCTATTAAGGAAGAAAAGACTTGATTAGTCAGTAACAATTGTTGGCAAGGATGTGGAGGAGTTGGGACCCTTGTACATTGCTGGTGGAATTGAAGTGGTCTGTCTGCTATGGAAACCAGTTTGTCAGTTCTTCAAAATGTTAAATACAAAGTCAGTATATGACTCAGAATTTCTATTCCTATGTTTATACCTGAGTGATTGAAAACATATATATGCAAAAACTTGTACATGGATATTCATAGTAGCATTATTCATAATAGCCCCAAAGTGGAAACAATTTAAGTACCCATAAACTGGTGAAAGAATAAATAAAATATATACACCTATACAGTGGAATAATATTTGGCAGTAAAAAGGAATACAGCACTGATACATGCTACAACATGGATGAACCTTGAAAGCATTATACTAAATGTAAGAAACCAGTTTCAAAACACCATATACTATATATTTTTATTTAAATGAAATATCCAGATAGATCTCTAGAGACAGAAAGTAGATTAGTGTCTACCAGTGTTGAGGCAGAATGGGAAGAATGAGGAGTGACTGTTAATGGGTACAGAGTTTCTTTTTGAGGTCATTAAATGTTCTAAAATTAGTTAAATTAGAGGCTCAACTTGGTGAATCTATTAAAACCCATTGAGCTGTACACTTTAAATAAATGAATTTGATGGTATGTTAATTGTATCTTTAAAAAAGCTTAAAAAATTTGAATTATAATAAATAACTCATTTGTCAAAAAAATCTATAGTTTACCCATACCTTAGAACAGTGTTCAGCAAACTGCAGCCCATGAGTCAAATCTAGCTAGACCCATTCATTTACCTATCATCTATAGCTGTTTTTGCTGAGCTGGGGTAGTTGACTGATCATCTGGCCTACAAAGTCTAAAATATTTCCTATCTGGCTCGTAATAGAAAAACTTTGCCAAATCCTGCTATGGAACAAGAAGTGGTATTTAAAAGGAGTGAAATATGTCTGTATTACTAATATAAGTAGATCTTAGACATTGTATTAAGTGAAAATAAGTTTAGGACAATGTATACATTGATGTCATTTATGTGCAAAAAGAAAACAAAACAGTCGCCTGACCCACTAACAAAAATTATATAATTAAATAGGTACATGTAGCATTTTATGAATACATTTTATGAATACATCAAACAGTTCTGAAAAGATACACAAAAATCTGATAATCTCTAGAGATAGGATTGGATTTTTTGGAATGGTAGTCAAACTGTACTTTAACCTTTATTATATTACCTTATTTTTTTCAAAGAAAATATATAAGTATGTTACATAAGTAAAAATATAAATGTAAAAGGATAATACATTATAGATATTTTTGGTTTGTTTTTCAGAGCTGTGAGTGATCAAAGTTTGTTAGAGGCTGTAAGTATAGCACTCTGTTTGAAATTATACTTTGCCCTTGATAATGTTAGACTCTAGAAATTATCAGGATGCATAATCTTAAAGATTCAGTACTTACTCAGTTTATTTAAGAAATTTCTATGCATATGTGAGCTGGAAAGCTTTGTCTTTTTTTGTTTTTACTAGACTTTGTTATCACTCAAAAACACTTCATTTATGAAATATTGAACTTTAATACCCCATTGTCTTCTAAATTTCTATTCATTATTACTTCTAGTTTGTTTGCCTCTTTGAGCCCCATTATCATTCATAATGCAGATTAATACCAATGGTTCATTATTTTCATGAGTTAATGAAGACTTTAATAATTAAGTGTCCCAATAATTTGTCTATATTGAAATGTATGCTTTTCATTGTTACTAAAATTATAATATTTGCTTTTAGAAATACAAACAAATGGAAAATAATTTTCAAGTGTTATTAGAGGAGAAATTAGGGCTGGAAAGTGAACTACAGAAGTTAAAGAATCCTGAGGTTAGTTCAATTTTAGTGTTTGAAAATGGTAGAATACCTAAAAAACCTTATTTTGTAGGATAGAAATTAAAGATATATTTAAATGTTTTATAATACATTTTTGATATTAATAGTTAACAGCTGTGCCTTAAAAAATAAAATAAAGCTATTTTCTAAATTACCGTATTAGCTATTAAAACCAAAAAGATGCTATGAAAAATGGACATAAAATTTAAATATTCCAAAAGACATTTCTAGGCCAAATATTTATTTTTGGGGGGGGTGGGAGGTTGGGGGAACCAGGTGGTGGGTATTAGAGAGGGCATGGATTGCATGGAGCACTGGGTGTGGTGCAAAAACAATGAATACTGTTACACTGAAAAGAAATAAAAAAAAATTTTTTTTCAAAAAAAATTTTCAATAAATTAGAGTTTTAAAATATATTTTATTTCTTTTTAAGTCCTAAAAAATTTCCAGTTAACATACAATGTGATATTAGCTTCAGGTGTACAATTTCCTGATTCAACCCTTACATATAACACCCAGTGCTCTTCATAACAAGTAAACTCCTTAATCCCCATCACCGGCTTAACCCATTCCCCCACCCACCACCTTACTGGTAACCCTCAATTTGTTCTGTACAGCTAAGAGTCTGTTTCTTGGTTTTCCTCATTCTTTTTTCCCCTAAGATCATTTGTTTCCTAAATTCCACATATGAGTGAAGTCATATGGTATTTGTCTTTCTCTTATTTTTTAAAAGATTTTATTTATTTATTTGAGAGAGAGTGAGAGAGTACAAGCCAAAGGGAGCAGCAGAGGGGGAGGGAGAAGCAGGCTTCCCACTCAGCAGGGAGCCCAATATGGGGCTCGATCCTAGGACCCTGGGATTATGACCTGAGCTGAAGGCATATATTTAACTGACTGAGCCACCCAGGCACCCCTCTCTGACTTATTTTGCTTAGTCTAATATTCTCTAGTTCTATCCGTGTCATTGCAAATGGCAGGAATTCATTCTTTTTCATGGTTGAGTAATGCTCCTCTGTGTGTGTGTGTGTTCACACACCACATCATTTTTTACCCATTCAACAGTCAATGGACATTTGGACTCTTTCCATAATTTGGCTATTGGTTGATAATCTGTGTGCACATATCCCTTGGAATTAGTATTTTTGTATTCTTTGGGTAAATACTTAATAGTGCAATTGCTGGAGAGTAGATAACTTTAACTTTCTAAGGAACCTCCGTACTGTTTTCCAGAGTGGCTATACCAGTTTGCATTCCTACCAACAGTGCAAGAGGGTTCCCCTTTCTTCATCTCCTGCCAACATGTGTTGATTCCTTAGTTGTTAATTTTAGCCATTCTGACACATATGAGGTGATATCTCATTGCAGTTTTGATTTGCATTTCCCTGATGATGAGTGATGTTGATCATGTTTTTATGTGTCTCTTGGCCATCTGGATATCTTCTTTGGAAAAATACCTATTTATGTCTTCTGACCATTTATTAACTGGGTATTGAGTTTTACACATTCTTTATATATTTTGGATACTAAACCTGTCATCAGATATGTCATTTGAAAATACCTCCTTTCATTCCAAAGATCACCTTTTAGTTTTGTTGATTGTTTCCCTCTCTGTGCAGAAGCTTTTTATTTTGATGTCCCAATAGTTTATTTTTGCTTTTGTGTCTCTTGCTTCAGGAGACATATTTAGTAAGAAGTTGCTACAGCTGATGTCAAAGAGTTTATTGCCTGTGTTCTTCTGTAGTATTTTTTTTTTTAAATTTAATGTATACAGCCACAAGCTGGAGATCTTATTCAAATACAGGCTCTGATTCCATTCTGGGATGGGACCTGAGTTTCTGCATTTTTTTTTAAAGATTTCATTTTATTTATTTGACAGACAGAGATCACAAGTAGGCAGAGAGGCAGGCAGAGAGAGAGAGAGAGAGAGAGAGAGAGGAGGAAGCAGGCTCCCTGCTGAGCAGAGAGCCCGATGTGGGGCTTGATCCCAGGACCCTGGGATCATGACCTGAGCTGAAGGCAGAGGCTTTAACGCACTGAGCCACCCAGGTGTCCCCTCCTGTAGTATTTTGATGATTTCTTGGCATTTAGGTCTTTAGAATTTAGACATTTAGGTCTTTAATCCTAATCCTTAAATCCTTTTGTGTATGGTGTAAGAAAGTGGTCCAGTTTCATTCTTTTGTACATTGTTGTCCAGTTTTCCTAACATCATTGGTTGAGAAGACTCTTTTTCCATTGGATATTCTTTCCTGGTTTGTTGAAGATTAATTGAATATGTACTTATGGGTTCATTTCTGGGTTTTCTGTTCTGTTCCATTGATCTATGTGTCTGTTTTTGAGCCAGTACCATACTGTCTTGATGATTACAGCTTTGTAATAGAGCTTGAAGTCTGGAATTGTGATGCTTCCTGACTGACTTTGCTTTTTCAAAGTAGCTTTGGATATTCAGGGTCTCTTGTACCACACAAATTTTAGGATTGTTTGTTCTAACTCTGTGAAAAATGCTATTGGTATTTTGATAGGAATTGCATTAAATGTGTAGAATGCTTTGGGTTATATAGACATTTTAACAATGTTTGTTCTTCCAGTTCATGAGCACAATTGCCTTTCCATTTCTTTGTGTCATCTTCACATTCTTTCATCAGTGTTTTTTTTTTTTTAAGATTTTATTTATTTATTTGACAGAGAAAGAGAGATCACAAGTAGGCAGAGAGTCAGGAGGAAGCAGGCTCCCTGCTGAGCAGAGAGCCCGATGCGGGGCTCGATCTCAGGACCCTGAGATCATGACCTGAGCCGAAGGCAGCAGCCCAATCCACTGAGCCACCCAGACGCCCCTTTCATCAGTGTTTTATGGTTTTCAGAATATAGCTCTTTTACGTCTTACTTACTAGGTTTATTCCTAGCTATCTTATGGTTTTTGGTACAATAATAAGTGGGATTGATTCCTTGATTTCTCTTCCTGCTGTTTCACTACTGACATGTAGAAATGCAACAGATTTCTCTTTGTTGATTTTTGTATCCTGAAACTTTACTGAATTCGTGTATCAGTTCTAGCAATTTTTTTGGTGTAGTCGGATTTTCTATATAGAGTATCATGTCATCTGCCAATAGTGAAACTGTGATTTCTTCCTTGCTGATTTGATAGTTTTATTTCTTTTTGTTGTCTGATTGCTGTAGCTAGGATTTCCAGTACTATGTTAAATAACAGTGGTGAGAGTGGATATCCCTGTCTATTCCTGACTGTAGATAAAAACTCTCATTTTTTTCCCCATTAAGAATGATATTAGCTGTGGGTTTTTCCGTATATGGCCTTTATGATGTTGAGGTGTGTTTCTTTTACCCCTACTTTGTTGAGGATTTTTAGAATGGATGTTGTACCTTGTCAAATGCTTTTTCTACATTTATTGAAAGGATCATATTGTTTATCCTTTCTTTTGTTAATGTAGTGTATCACACTGATTGATTTGTGAATATTGAACCACCCTTACAGTCCAGGAATAAATCCCACTTGATTTTGGTGAATGATTTTTTTAATGTGCTGTTGGATTTCGTTTGTTAGTATTTTATTGAGAATTTTTGTATTCTTGTTCATTAGGGTTATTGGCCTGTAGTTTTCTTTGTTATTGGAATCTTTATCTAGTTTTGGTACCAGGGTAATGCTGGCATCATGGAATGAATTTGGAGGTTTTCCTTCCATTTTTTTTTTTTTTTTTTTTTTTTGGAACAGTTTGAGAAGAATAGATATTAACTCTCTTTAAATGTTTGGTAGAATTTGCATTTGAAGCCATCTGGCCCTGGACTTTTGTTTCTTGGGAAATTTTTTATTACTGATTCAGTTTCTTTGCTGCTCATTTGTTTGTTCAGCTTTATATTTCTTCTGGTTTCGGTTTTGATAGTTTGTATGTTTATACATTTCTAGGAATTTATCTGTTTCTTTCAGGCTTACTGGCATACAGTTTTTCACAATATTCCCTTATAATTGTTTGTGTTTTTGTATTTTGCAGTTATTATTTCTCCTCTCATTTGTCATTTTATTTATTTGGGTCCTTTCTCTTTTCTTTTTGATAAGTTTGGCTAGGTGTTTATCAATTTTATTAAATATTTCAAAGAACCACCTACTGGTTTCAATGATCTATTGTTTTTTTAGTTTCGATAGCATTTGTTTCGGCTCTAATCTTTATTATGTCCCCCCTTTTGCTAGCTTTAGGCTTCATTTGTTCTTTTTCTAGTTCCTTTTGGTGTTTGTTTATTCGAGATTTTTCCTCCTTGAAGTGGACCTATATTATTATATAATTCTCTCTTAGGACCACTTTGGCTGCATCCCATATGTTTTGAATCATTGTGTTTTCATTTTCATTTGTTTCCACAAATTTTTATTTTATTTTTTTCTTGATTTTCTGGTTGGCCCATTCATTGTTTAGTATCATATTGTTTAACTTCCATGTATTTGTGGTCTTTCCAAATTTTTTCTTGTTGACTTCAAGTTTTATAGCAGTGTAGTTAAAAGATAAGCATGGTATGATCTCAGTCTTTCTGAACTTGTTGAGGTCTGATTTGTGATCTAGTATGTGATATTATGGAGAGTGTTCCATGTACGCTCAAAAAGAATGTGCATTTTACTGCTTGGGGATGGAATGTTCTGAATATATCTGTTAAGTCCATCTGGTATAATATGTCATTCAAAGCCATTTTTTCCTTGTTGATTTTCTGCTTAGATGATCTGTCCATTGATGTAAATAAAGTGTTAAGCTTCCCTATTGTTATTGTATTATTATCAATTATATCCTTTATGTTTGTTATTAATTGTCTTATGTATTTGGGTGCTCCCACCTTGGGAGCATAAAGATTTGCAATTGTTAGATCTTCTTGTTAGATAGTCCCCTTGATTATTTCCTTCTTCATCTCTTGTTACGGTCTTTGGTTTAAAATCTAATTTGTCTCATAAATATTGCTACTTCAGCTTTTTTTGACTTCCATTTGCATGGTAAATGTTTCTC